CGCGGATCTAAAAGATTGTATTGTTTTTCTTTTTCCGATATAGTTCGTTCACATTCAAGCGTTTCGGCTCGTTTTTTACCATTTTCGTCAACGAAATCTATTGTATAGAGCATAAATTCAATTAAACAAAAGATATGCATGCCATCATTCACTCTTACACCAGCTTCAAACCTTATTCCAGTAGAGAATCGCGCTTCGCCTAGTTGAAATGAATATACAAAAGTAGGCAGAGACGCGTAGCATTTACAATAGAAGTTTAGCTATTAAATTTGATCGGTGATCGAGATCAAAAAAAAAAACGCGGGCTTTTAATATAATAGGCTCAGTTGATCCTAATCTATAAAAGCACCAAACCTGTAAGACAGAAATAAGACTCGCAGAAAGTATATATGCAGGCGCACACCTAACGGGCGTTAGACCGGCGTCCAAGAAATCACTTATAAATATTTGAGTCCATTCCAAACTTTTTTCCATCTTCTCCGCATAGACTTCTCTCACTTGATGTCATTATAGGGCTCCATAATTGAACAATTATTTAAAGTCTTTCGAACGATACGTGCTTGATACATTTTGATAAAGAATTAGAAATTCTAGTCTAGATGTAGCAAGAGCGAACAATGCGTTCAGACGAACAGCAAAGCATTTCTCCATCTCATTTTAACAGTTCTCCACCACCTTTAAGAATCAAAACAGATTCAAATGATATAACAACATAAGCAGCCAAAGTTCGACATTATCATCATTCCTCCTTTCAACACCTTACTATTTCAAATCTTCTCCGGCCATATTTCCGAATCGATCCAAAAGAGGAACATCAACATAAAATCTTGAAATCAGAACACCCTTGCATACCTTTCTATCCACTTTTGACGAGCTCAATCAGACTGGATAAGTTTTTATACTCCGAAGATTAGACTCGATCTTTGCTCGATATATAACAAGCCTGCAAAAGCGCTAAAATGCTGGTTTGGCACAATTTTTTTTTTTTTTTTTTTAACCCTGTTTCCGTGTCTTCGTTGTCTCTCTCGAATATCGCAATCCGCAGGCGTTGCATAAACTTTTTTTTCCAGCCGGACCTCTTCGCCATTCTGGACTTTTTGTAGTTCCACACATCGAGCACTTCATTGTAGGTGAAATCATCTGACTTCTTTCTTCACTATCCTGTCCGGTGCCGTGTATTACTGCTAATATAGCATCGGTCATTGGGGAAAAGGTCGCAGCTTCATTTGTACGTGCGGACGAACTGGCTTGTACATCATCGTTCTGTGATGAATTAAAATCGGCAACTCGTTCTGAGTTTCGGTTAGAGGATGAACTTGCTGATGAGGTTTGTGAAAATGACTGGATTGGACGGAAATCAGAGGTCCAATCTTCTGGTTGTTGTTGCTGTCTTGAGCTCGATGCCCAGGTGAAGAAAGGAGATCCTTGGCCCTCATGCACTACGAGAGGATACATTTGCTTATATCGAACATCATCCTTTTCTAATCGATTAGGTTGATGTTCGGCAAAGTATTCTGCTTTTTCAACGAAGAAAAGTGCAAATTTAATTTCCCCGTGCAGAATGATTTTTACAAACAAGTCGAGGGCAAAACCATCCATATAAATGCTTGCTGCTGCTTGCAGTTGACTTTTACAAGCAGTCAGTCTTTGGTAATCCTCAAAATCATCATCCTGAAAATCTAATTGGTTCGTCAGGCGAGCAAAAGCGTCTGCAAAATAGCTGCCATCCCTATAAATTTCTGTACCGGATATGCTTGTAAAATGTTGCATTGACTCAAATAACCTTGGTGGCGGCCAGGAAAATAAAATGCTCTTCTGTGGATCATCTGTCAGAATTTGAAAGACAGTTTTTGGAAAGCCGCTTTGATGTCTTTCAATCGCACTTGATGATGGGGCGATGAATCGTACAGCCAAAATATGCTCCCATAACGTTTGACAATGCTGATCGTCAAATGCATCCAAAGGCGTTTCGCACCAGTTTGTCCATTGAGATTTATCCTGCTGATTATAATCTTGTTTAGATCTATCTTCAACAGCATGAAAGAAGCATAGTAACATTTCATCTCCGATCAATTCCATCCGGATATCGGTTAATTGATGATCTTCTTCTTTTGATTGTGTAAAAGTGGAAAAATCTAACTTTCGATCGTTAAGTGAAGAATGAACGTATTTACCCATCGATAAGACGCTTTTCATTGTACATTGAAGCACCTTTTTTTCGCTTCTACTACCCATTACGTATTGCAAGATGTTCGTTTCAATCCATTTGGCATCATTAGGATGAACTAAATCCAATGCACTTGTGCCCATAAGCGATTCTACGCTATAGCCCAATGATTCCTCCATAGTTGGATCAAGGTGGAGGAAGACCAAATTTGCTTTATTCAACATATTCCCAACATCCGCAGGTCGTGTAGATAGTACTGCCCAATCTATGAGGAGGAGATAGTTTGTTAACATTGTGCGAATCACATTAAATCATCTCTTCATACTTACAACATCGAACGCTTTCAGAAGGTGTTTTCTGTCTTCGCCTCTGCAGTGCCATACTCTTGCCTTTATTTTGATCTATAAAGCGCCTGTCAAGCTCAAGCGGAAAGGGTGACTTGATTTGATAATAGGGTTTAGCAATTGGTGCTTGCTGGCTTCCTCCTGATTCACCTGTTTGTTGCATGATGATTTCAATATCCTTGAAGAGCTTTTATGATTTTAGTCGTTTTTAAGATGATGAAGTTTATTCATCAAAACACGATCTGAATTCGACCGCGATAGAACACCAAAAACAGTTTTAGCAGCAAATCCAAAACTTGCTTTGCTTTTGTAGCTTTGCGGCTGCTCTTCCCCCTTGTGAGTGTCGATTTACCGGGCTATTCAAGCTTTAGATACTATCGCAATTGGATTGATTGCCTTTAGCGCGCAGCGCAGCGCACAAGTACGTCTTTCTCATCGTCAGGGCTTTGCATCCAATCATCTTTCGTCTAATGCGATGTCGTTTGCTTGATGATTCTTCTCTTTGCTCTCAAAATTGTCTTAATCTGCTCAGAAAAGGCTATAAACACGGAGCATAGGCGGTCAAAGACTGAAGAAAACAACTCATTGTCTTTGCGCATATTGACTTTGATGATAGAGTTCTCTGGTCACCTATTGCTTTGTTCAGAGATCATGTTGATATCTACCTGGTTGCAAGGAGAAGAAAAGACAATTGTTTTTCGGGTGCACGCGGCAAGCGGAATGGGTTTTCTACCTTTCCTCCGTAGCCTATGATTTCAATTCTGGTGTTCAGATTACCGTTCCGATCCTGCATATATGTAGAGTGAACTAAAGATCAAACGTTCTACCTTTTTATTTCAATTTTGACTGAATGCGGTGTTCCTTATTGTACAATATGCACTATTGAAAACTATTTTTTCTTTCTACGCCCGCCCCTTAGATATATTCATACGATAAAGGATGCAGCACATCAAGCATGTCTTACTCAAACGGATATACTAGAGATGGTGTACCAGAAATGATTCCCATTCTCTCCTTCATCGCCACGCATCTAAAGGGATACTTCACATATTGCAAGTAACAATACACACAATCCAGTTGCTTTGAAAAGAAAAATTGACGACATTCTAAGATGAACTGGGAACAATCTTATTAATCTAGCTATTTGGATATGCGATTCGACGAAAGTTGATCATGACACCAGCCGACACAATTTACGTTTTTCTTTTTGCGACCACCAGGAACAAAGCATCTTTGGTCGATTGCGACATATCTTGGCCTTGTGTTAGTGAGTATACAAACTCGCTCATCTCCTACTGGACCAGTTACCAACACTACATAAGAAACAAGGAACAAACTCGTTGAAAAAAAAGGCACTCCTCACCAAATGCAAACCCAATCTATTTGTCTTACTGTCTGATTTCTTCGAAAGTTTTTTTTTCAACACTACGTTTCGAATTATACCTCAAGTAAAAGGCAGCATTAAAATTCGTCCTCCCAGCCCCGATCATTACTTCTATGGCATATCGAATGGTACGAGTATGTCATGAAACGGTTGA